TCCCTCCTAGCACTGATGACGTTGCCTAGCTGGGTCATGACATACGTGCAAGGAAGCCACCAAGCTCAGGGAACATGGAGGACCCCTCCTCCTCCTCCTCTCCCCCCCTCCCCTTCTTCTTCTCCTCCCTTCCTTCTTCTTCCTCCTCCTCTTCTTCTCCTCCTTCTGCTCTTCCCCCTCTTCCTCCTCCTCTTCTTCTTCCCTTTTCCCACAAACCCCAGTCCCTCCTAGCACTGATGACGTTGCCTAGTTGGGTCATGAAATGCCTGCAAGAAAACCACCCAGCTCAGACAACATCAAGAACCCCACAGTTCTCCTCCTCCTCTCCCCTCTCCCCTTCTTCTTCTCCTCCTCCTCTTCTTCTCCTCCTTCTGCTCTTCTCCCTCCTCCTCCTCCTCCTCCTCTCCCCTCCTCCTCTCTACAAAGCCCCACTCCCTTCTGGGACTGAGGATGTCCCCGTTTCCAAGAAAACCAGAGAGCACCAGGGACCCCGCGGTGCAGAGTAGCTGATTTCTATATTGCATCTCAGAGGGTGGGCTTTGATGGGTGGGGCTGCTGGGAATTGCAGTCAGAGTAACCCAAACTCTCCCCCACCCCCCATGGCCCAAGAGGACTTCAAGTTGAGGTCTCAAGAGCAACGTTGATGCACAAAGCTTTCCTTTCAGCGTGGTTTCTCCCGGTGGTTGCTCTCTCCCTTTGCCAATGCTCCCGGTGGTCATGGGAGTTGGGGAGGTCAATGAGCCTAAGGCCCAGCTCGGTTCTCTGGTCCATGGGAGGGCATCTCCGGCTTCTGGAGGACTCAGGGTTCCTTGCAAAGGCCTGCTAGATGGGATGAAATAGTCCGTAGGGCGGGGGTGTCCAACCTTGGCAACTTGAAGGTGTGTGGACTTCAACTGTCACAATTCCCCAGCCAGCACGTGCTGGCTGGGGGATTCTGGGAGTTGAAGTCCACACACCTTCAAGTTGCCATGGTTGGACACCCCTGCTGTAGAGGCTCCTTCCCAGAGGGCTAAGAGCAGAGGTGGGCTACAAATATTTTAGCAAAGGGTTCCCTGCCCAGTTGCTGGGTGGGCGTGGCCTAGTCGGCTCCTGTTTTTGCCCTCCCCGGACTCCGGAGGCTCTCCGGAAGCCGGAAACGGGATAATTTCACCTCTATTCCTACCCCCCCTCTGTCATCCTTAGCTAATTCAATCCTGGGTTCTATAAACGGGGGCGTGGAATGAAAAATCCCTCGAAATATTAGCGCCCGCTTCATAAAACCTTAGTTAAGGCCACACCTGGAATACGGGGTCCAGTTTGGTCACCACGTGACCAAAAAAAGTGATGCCGAGACTTAGGAAACAGTAGAGAGAAGAGCAACTAGGCTGATTAAAGGCCTGCAGACCGAAACCTAGGAAGAACGGTTGCAGGAACTGGGCCCGTCTAGTCTAATGAAGAGAAGGACTTGATAGCAGTGTGACAATATTGGAGGGGCTGCCCCCAAAGAGGAGGGAGTCAAGCTATTCTCCAAAGCGTCCCAAGGCAGGACAAGAAGCAATGGCTGGAAACTCATCAAGGAATGTGGACTTCCTGACAAGGAGAACAATTCACCCACGGAACAACCTGCCTCCAGAAGTCGTGGGTAACCTAACCCTGGAGGTTTTTAAGAAGAGCCACTTGTCTCAGATTAGGGTCTCTTGCTTGAGGTTGGACTGGAAGACCTCCCGAGGCCCCTTCCAGCTCTATTCCGAGCTGAGTTGAAATCTGCACGACTTATCCTTTTCAACCCTACCAAAGAGGCCAAAACCAGGACCGGCCCCCATTTCCCCCCCGCAACAATAGGAGGAAAACAATACGTGTGAAAAATTCTCTGCAGCCGGGATCTCTTTTCACCTGGCTGACCGCCTCCCCCGCCCCCCCATCCCCCGGTGACCCTCGTAGATACAATGAGATCCGACCCTGCCAGGTTCTTAATTGAAACTTCAGGGTCCCTGGACTTTTTCCTGGAGAGGCCGAGCCAGGTTAAGATACACGGCGGAGGCTTTGTACTGCGCCCCAAACTGAAAGCGTTTGGGTTTTTTCTGGCGGTTAAAAATATTTCAGGGGGAAAGAAAAGGCCGCAGAGGACGGGTTTAAAGGCCTCTTTCGAAGAGACCAGGAAAACGCAGGAAAGTAAGTTAGAATTTGGAGGGTTGGAGGGAGGAGAGAGAGTGTGGGGGTGTGGGGGGGGTGTTGAATGGTTCTTCCAACCTCCCCCCACCCCGGGCAGGGCATTTACTGATCCATAAAAGGTGTTTTTGGATGAAAAAAAAATGGACGTACAGGTTACCCCCCCCTTGACTTACGACCAACCGATGGTGGTATGCTACCGATTTGGCACGGTTCTACCGAGCTGGTAGCAGCGCCAACGAGCAGCAGAGACCAAACTGGTTCTTACCTGTTGCTCTGCTGTTGGGACCACCTGCGCTCTCTTACTCGACTTTTTCCCCTACTTTTTTTTTTTTTTTTTAATAAATTTTATTGAATTTGCAATTAAAAAATAACATAACAACATTACATATGCAACAGAGAGAGAAAAAGAAGAAAGAGAGAAGGGAAAGAGAGAGGAAAAACAAACAAACAAATGCTCGGTCTTGCGACCGAAAAAGGAGAAAAAGAAATATAAAAGAAAGAAAAAAAACAAAGAGACGGAAGAAAAAAGAAAATACGTTAAAACCAGACAGATTTCCTTTTTGACAGTCTGCAAGATCCAATTCTCCTACCTTACTTTAATTATACACATCTTATCACTATTTATGCTTAAATTACCCATTATTCATTGAACAGTTTATCTCTGATATAACCAATTATACCACGCATTCCAATTATTATCCAATGCTGAAGACTCTTTATTTTTAAGAGCTCTGGTTAAATTGTCCATTTCTGCGCAGTCACATATTTTCTGAATGACCAATTGATCTGTAGGTAAACAGGATGATTTCCAGCACTGGGCAAATGCTAATCTGGCCGCAGTTAGAATATGAATTATTATATATTTCGTCTGTTTAGGAAAATGTTTATCAGGTTATCTGGTTTCTCTTCAGTTCGTATAAATCTTTCGCCTTTTTCCCCTACTTTTGAAGCACAGCGGCTTTCGCAGCACATCAGTGCAGGCTTGCAAGGAGGTGAGTTGGAGTGCCTCTGCGCCTGCACCAAGTGCGTGTTGGGCAGTGCGCGTGCACGCAAAGTGCGTGCACGCGTTGCAAAGCGCGCCCCCTCAGCCACACCCGCCAAACCGGTGGTAAAAGTTTTGGAATCCCACTCCTGGGCCCCACGCTGGCTAAGGGGCAGGGGTCGTTCAGTGAGTTTTGACCCCGCTTTGCCATCTTTCTTGCCCGCGTTGCTAAGTGAGTCACTGCAGCGGTGGAATTCGTCACGCCGTCGTGAAGCGATTCCAGCTTCTCCCGTCGCACCTTTTCCCGATGGAAAGTTTCTTGCAGGTGACTTTTATCAGCCCTAGTTGGCAAAAGAACCTCTCAGTGATTTGGGGAGCCCAGTGAAAACTGGTTACCTTTTTCTGCACGAGGCCGTATTTCAGCTCCGGGTTTTCACTGAAGGTAAAACTCTGGATTTTCCACTCTTCGTTGAAGCATCCGAGACTGGAGCCGAATAGCAGAGTTTTCAGGTCCTTTTATGAGCAGAAAAAGAAAAAGTGGGTGAGGCAGTAAGAGAAAGAGCAAACGTGAAAGAAGAAAACTCTTGTTTTCGTTTGGGAAATACATCGAACGACAGGACGGAGAGAGGCTGAGAGGCGCCATTTTAAAGCAGGAAAGACAGAACCGGAGAACATACATACAGGTAGTCCTTGACTTACACCGATTCATTGAGTGGCCATTCGAAGTTACAGCAGCACTGAAAAACAAGTGTTTTAATGCCAGTTTTCACACGACCATCGCATGGTCACATGATCAAAATTCAGACCCTTGGCCACTGATTCATGTTTACAAAGGGGTGTGTGTATGTGCGTGTGTGTCACCTAGTCCCCTTTTGCGACCTTCCGGCAAGCAAAGCCAATGGGGGAGGTGGATTCACTTAACAACCGGGTTACTAATTCAACAACTGCAGTGCTTCACTTAACAACGGTGGCAAGACAGGTTGTAAAATGGGTCCAAGCTCACTTAACAACAAAACTCTCACTTAGCAAATTTTGGGCTCAGTTCTGGCCGTCGGTCAAGGGCTGCCCGCCCTTGCCCGCTTGACTCGGATGCCAGAAATTCTGCCACTAACCGGGCGCGTTCCCCTCATTCCTTCTTTTTCCTCGTCGCGTTGTTTCGGCAAAGAAAAGGGGGAAAAAAAAGAAACACATCAGGGCAAAGCAAAACGAGGCTTGGCCGCAGGCCCCTTGTGCGCTGCTTAGCCTCTTTCGGGGTTTTCAAGTCTAATCGTTAAAACAAAACCTGAGAGAATGGCTGCTCAGGAATCTGCCCTTAATGCCAACTTGCGTTGGCTTGGCGTTTCTCCAACCGGCAAACGCTTTTAATTTTTCTCCCAGGGGTGGTTTTTTTTCAAAAGGCAACTGGGGGTGTGTGGAGAAAAAAAAAACGAAAACAAAGGAAGTCCAGTTGCCTTTTGAAAAAGCACCTTTGTGACAACCGTGGCCTGGGTGACCGAGAACCTCTTTTTAAATTTTAACAGATTAACAGAGTTGGAAGGGACCTTGTAGGTCATCTAGTCCAACCCCCCCCCACCCAAGCAGGAGACCTTGCATATCCCTGACAGATGGCAGTCCAGTCTCTTCTTGAAAGCCTCCAGGGACGAAGCTCCCACAACTTCCGAAGGCAACTTCTGTTCCATCGGTTGATGGTTCTCACTGTCAGAAAGTTTCTCCTTATTTCTAGATTTGGATCTCTCCCCTTGTCCAGTTTCCATCCATTGTTCCTTCTCTGGCTTTCAGGTGGTTTTAGAAAATAGCTGGACCCCCTTCCTCCTCTCTGTGGCAGCCCCTCGAATATGGCAAGGCTGCTCTCCTGTCTCCCCTGGTCCTTCTCTTCCCTAGACTAGCCAGGCCCAGTTTCTGCAACCTTCATTGAACGTTATTTGGCCTCCAGTCCCCTCATCGTCCCGGTTGCTCTTCTCTGCACTTTTATAAGTAGTCCTCAACAAACACACGTTTAGCAAACTCTCCAAAGCTGCAACGGCACTGAAGGAAAGTGACTTACAACCAGTGTCCTTGTGCTTACAGCCGTCACAGGATTCCCGTGATCCAAATGATTCGTTTAGTGACCGCTTGAAGTTGCAACAGCAGCGAAAACTGTGACGTCCCGTGTTCGTGGCAGCATCCCCACAAATTGAGGCGCTCAGGAAACAACACGGTTTTATGATGTGTAGAAATCATAGGACCATCACTTGGGGTGTGGGGGGGTCTTCCGACAAACGCAGTCAAATCCGAAAAGCCGGATTTGCATAAGAACTGTGTGGTTCACTTCACAACTGCAATGATTCGCTTATCGACAGTGGCGGGGGGCGGGGGGGGCAGGGAAGAAGGTCTTAAAATCAAGCACGACTCACTTGTTGAGTGACTCATAAATCACCTTGCTTAGCAATAGAAATGCTGATCCCAGTCATAAATCAAGGACTGCCTGTCTAATTTATTACTAAAAGGGCCCCCAGTTCGTCTCGGCTGCAAGGAACATTAAAGAGAGCGACAGGGAACTTTGCAATTTTCAATGCTCCGGCTAAGCATTAGCAAGCTTTAGCTGAAGGGGATTTATTTCCTTAATATCAGTTTAATTGAACTAAGGCTGAAGAGAAGAGCTGAGGTAATAAAGCTTTTATAATAGTTGAAAAAAAAAAAGGCTAGATGGAGAAAGAATTAACAAAATTGGGGGAAAAGCTCTTTAAAGAATATAGTGTGTATTATAAGAATGTACCAAGCAGAATTCGATTGGAAGTTATGTACTATGTATTATATCGAAGGTCATAAACTTAAGGTATATATTGAAGTTTAAATAAGAGTTGAATGGATGTAATTAAAAGATATAAAGGTGTCATACTCCAATTAGTAACTACAGGAGAAAACTTGTTTAATGAGAAAAGATAATATGAAATTGAAACAGAACGGACAAAAGTATAAATATAATGATTTCAATTGAGATGAGATAATCAAATTAAAATTGAGAAAATCAAAAGATGGGAAAAAAATATACAGAAAATGTAAAACAGTATAAGATATGGAAAAGAATACAAAAAGGAGCATGAAATTGAGTTTTGTGTCTGCATAAAGAAGTTCAACACGGGACCATGCTATTTTCAAAAAAGATGTTTTACTTGTATTTTGTATGTGTGCAAAATCATTCTGATACTGAGCTTTGGGTTCAAACTGTGGTTTGGTTAATTGTGGTTCTTTGACCAAACTATTATTGGTTAAGGTGGCAAGGTCCCAATTATAAAAACATAATTGGCAGAACACAATTCGAGGTCCTCGACTTACAACAGTTTGTTTAGTGCCGTTCAAAGTCGAGGGCTATCTATACGGGCGATTTGCTGATAAATTTTTACAGGGCAATTTTAGCCAGGAAGAAAAAAAATTAGAATCATATTAAGTTGCATTTAACATGACTTATTGATCATGCCCTACTCACAAGAGGCATGAGCCAATCAAGGGTCACAAATTTGTCACTAGGTAAATGTCAACTGAATTTAAACCTTTTGTGGTAACCTCATGATTCTAGACTGGTAACTTGCTTGTCTCCTCCCCCAGGGTTGTTCTCCTACAATTTGGCACATTTAGCTAAGAGCAAAAGAACAAACAGGAAGAACGAAAGCAAACAGAGCCCTTGAGAATTAGCATGGAGGAAGCCGATCAGATAGTTCCTTCAGATTCTGTGGAGTCCTTAATGGTCTCAGAGCTTAGCTGTTTGCTTGCAGATGTTTCACAACCCAACTAGGTAACATCATCTGGTTAGCGAGTATACGGTTGCTCATTGTTTATATACAATAGCTTTCATTGGCCGTGTTGGCGAGGGAGAGGTTTTCTCTTTGATTTTGATAAGGGTATTACTTTCTGCTTGACTGTCTGGTTTTAATCCCTGCTTATCTGTTGTTAGCTGCTGGAGGAGGTGGCTTTTTTTATTCTTTCTTTTGAATGGTGTGTAAATATTGTTTATCTCTATGTGCCTGTTGATGGCTGATGGGTCCGAGTGCCAGACTTCCAGAAATCCCCTATTCCTCTCCCCCCCCAATTCAAATTCTGTCCTGTCCTTTGCCAAACTTAATGCACAGCTCACCTTTGCAAGAACGAAATCAATGGGCCTGGTTGTCACTTGACACGCATCTAGAATCAAAGGCTCAGGGTTTTCCCCAACGTCTTCCCAGCTTTCTTCATCCTCGACATCAACTAACGGGGGAAAAATAAGAGGTCAACATCTTGAACCTCTTGGGAATAGTCACTGCAGTAATCTAGCAGCATCTTATGGCCAATTGAGATCATGAAATTTTATTTGTATTTTCCATTTTCAAACCCCGCTATAATTTAAACTCCTTCAATATTAAAGGGTTTGCATTTTTAGTATTCAAAGTTAAAATAACCTTTTTCTTATTATATTTTTTAAAACTAAAGCTTGCTTTTCTTTAGCTCCTTGAGATGAAACTCACTGGGGGAAATAGATAAAATGAAACAACAGGTTATGCCAACCTTAGTCACAGTTCATATGTCACGAGCAGAGTTTGGGTAACACGGATAGCTCTAAACTACCCCTTATATGTCATGGTGATGTCATTTGCACAATAGGCTGAAAACAAGAATACGGTAAGGTTCAAAAGGCATTTGGAAATGATGTAAATATGCGAGTTCACTTCTAAAGTAAATTCACATGGTGAGTTCGCAAGTCAAAGATGACCTACTACTGATTCTTATTGTAATTTTCTAATTATCAAGTTCAGGACAAGGAAACATAACACAATATATTTGTGTTTCTCAGCCTGGACAACTTTAACATGGGTGGATTTCACCTCCCAGAATTCCCCAGTCAGCAAACAGGTTTTCCCCCCTCACCTCCAAGTTTACAAATCCCTAACTACTACTACTACTCCTACTACTCTTCTTTTCCTCCTCCTCCTCCTTCTCCTTTTTCATCCTCTTCTCCATCTTCTTCTTCCTCTTCTTGTCTTCCCTTCCTCCTCCTCTTCCCCTTCTCCCCCTCCCTCTCCTTCCTTCCTTCCTTCGGAGATGAATGCCCCATGGTGAGAGGGGCATTCTGGGAGTTGAAATCCACCATCTTAAAATTGCCGTGGAAGAGGAAACACTGCAACGAATATTTCACCAAACAGAACTGACCTAGTTCCAAAATGTCTCGGGGCAAATGACCTTTTCTGGATGCAGGGGCGGGAGATCTTCTGAAATGAAACAAGACAGAACAACCACATGGTCAAATCTGATCAGAGACATGACTAGCACAAAAGGAGGATCGAAGCCAGGCTCAAAACATCCTGTGAGCCAATTTCAGAGGCTGGGACTTTCAATTCTGAAGGCAGAGCTAGAAAACTTAATTCTCAGAACTTCACGCTCACCATATAATGAAACTTTACCAGGTGGACCTTAGCACACGGGATTAACGTGGTGGTTACTCCTTGAAAGATGCTTTTGAACAGGGCTTGGGGATCTTAAAATGTTCCACCAAAACAGAAAACTTTCCAAAACTTTCCAAATCAATTCTGGCTGCACATTTGCAATTCGTATTTTAACCTTTGTGCAAAAATTGTCGGTGCTTGTTTACTGTTGTTATGCTTAGGCTGTCTGAGCCACTTCCAAATATTATCGGGTGGATTTTGGCTCTTATTGCCTTTGCAACTAATCTTGTACGCCTCAAAGTCACAAAATCCATCTTCCTTTGTCTGTCTATACAACGTGCCTGAAAGTTGAGTCATGGCAAATAAACTTAGTTCCTTGTGGATTTGTGATGTTTCGCTGCCCATCCTAGCAGCTTCCTCGGTCAGAAAAGGTTAGTTAGCTAGAGAGTTGTTGGGGTGTACCAACTTCCTCCTCTACAACACCTGTTGTATTTCTCCAAAGTGCAGCATCTATGTACAACCTGTTTCTTCATTATCCAGGATAACTTAGGGACATGTTATTCATGCTGGCTCTAAAGTCCTTGAATGCTGGACTGCTTCCCCACTGATCCAAAGCGTATCTCGGCGTGAGATTTACAGCAAGTCCTCAACTTACAACAGTTCATTTAGTGACCGTTCAAACTTGCAATGGCACTAAAAAGGGCGGGGGGAGCTTATAACCATTTTTTTGCATCTACAACCATTACAGCATCATTTGCAGTTATATGATTGAGATTCAGATCTTTGGCAACTGACTCGTATTTATGACCGTTGCAGTGTCCCGGGGTCACACGATCCCCTTTTGCGACCTTCTGACAAACAATGTCAATGGGAGAAGCCCAGATTCACTTAACAACCATGTGACTCACTTAACAGCCGCAGTTAACAAGTGTGGCAAGAAAGTCCATACAATGGGGCAACATTCCCCTAGCAAATGTCTCACTTAGCAATCTAAATTTTGGCCTAAGTGAGGTCCAAGGTTGAGGACTACCTGTACAGGTAAGTCCTTGACTAACAACCACAATTGGGGGGGCAGAATTTCCATTGCTAAACAAGGCGGTTGTTAAGTGAACTGCACCCAATGTTGTGACTTTTTTTAAGTACGGTTATTAAGCAAATCACCACAGTTGTTAAGTGAGTCAGGCAGTTGTTAAGCAAATTCAGCATCTCCCATTGAGTTTGCTTGCCGGAAGCCAGCGGAGAAGGTCGCAAACGCGGGTCATGTGACTCACTTTTGCATGTGCTATAAACACAGCGCCCTTAGCCCAAGGCCCGGATTTTGGTCATGTGACCATGCAGGAATGCTGCAACAGTGGTAAGTGGGGAAACAGGCACAATTCACCCCCTTCCCCCCCTCCACCAGTGCTGTTGCAACTTCAATGGGTCACTAAACAAATGGTTGTAGGTCGAGGACTACCTGTAGCTGTAAGCCACTTTTTTCAGTGCCGTTGTAACTTTGGCCACTAAGCAAGGGATTGTAAGTCAAGGACTACTTGTATCCTGGGCATCTGTGTCAGATTTGGACATTGTTCACCCAAACTACAATCGTTACGTAGGAGGTTAGCACCCACCCCTCTCCTAGAAGAATGAAATATTCTAGTAAACATTAAAAAAGGCAGAATATCATATTTCCCCCGGATGAGGAAAAGGAGAAACGTTTTTTTAAAGACAAAGCAGCTTCCTGCAGCTCCCTGCTCCAGGGGGAATGGGACTAAGACCTGGCCCTCAGGAAACGACAGGATTACCCATCTCACCAGGTGGCACCTGGGAAGACTGCATCAGCCAGCACTCAGGTGAAGCCATGGGGTCCAGACAAAGCCTACCCAGTTAGCTAAGACCCCGCCCCTGGGAGTCTGGCAGCCAATGGGGTACGTTTCTTGCACAGGAACAGGAAGCATCCAACAGCAGGTATGAAACCAGGGGATTCTCAGCCTCTCTTCCTTTTTCCCGCCCAGGAGCTCCAAGGCATGTGGTCCTGTCCACCATTAAACCTTCTTTCCAAGCAACTTCCATGAATCCAGCGTCTTTTTCCCCCACTTGGAACTGAACCCAGAGGGAAATTATAGTTCCATTAGGGAGGGAGGAGGGGAGATAAAAGAGGGAGGGGAAGGAAGGAAGGAAGGAGGAAGAAAGGGAGGGAGGGGAAATAAGAGAGAGAGAAAAAGATGAGAGAGAGGAAGGAAGGAAAGAGAGAGGGGGAAGGGGAAAGAAAAGACGAGAGAGAGGAAGGAAGGAAAGAGGGGGAGGGAGGGAGAGAAAGGAAAGGAGAAGAGAGCGAGGAAGGAAGGAAGATAAGAGACAGAAAGGGAGGGAGGGAAAAAAAGAGAGAGAGAAAAAGATGAGAGAGAGGAAGGAAGGAAAGAGAGAGGGGGAAGGGGAAAGAAAAGACGAGAGAGAGGAAGGAAGGAAAGAGGGGGAGGGGGAGAGAGAAAGGAAAGGAGAAGAGAGCGAGGAAGGAAGGAAGATAAGAGACAGAAAGGGAGGGAGGGAAAATAAGAGAGAGAGAAAAAGATGAGAGAGAGGAAGGAAGGGAGGAAAGAAGGAAAGAGAGAGAAGGAAAGAAAAGGAGAGGAGAGAGGGAGAAAGAGGAAGGGAAGGGGAGCAGTACATGATGAAGAGAAGAGCGGGGAAAAGGCAGGGAGGGAGGGAAGGAGGAAAAAATCGAAAAGAAAATATGCCATTTCTGAGATTCCACCAAAGTAAGAGAATTCCTCAACCTTCTTTGCTGACAGCTAGGAAAAATATATATATTGAATCTACTGAATCTATTCTAATCTCAATCCGAGTCATATATGGAATAGATTCAGGAAAAGATGACTCGGATTGAAATAACTCAGTGCACAGCCCAGGATGGAGACTGATTCACTGGTGTTACGGGTGACTCACGGCCGGAGGAACAGCCCAACACTAGATGGAAAAGCCCCGTCACGATGAGCTGTGAGTAAAATGATTGAGGCTCAGTAAAAATAAGTTTTGGCGTGAGATGCCGCTCAGGCCTAATTCTGGCGATGTAGACCGTCACCTAGACGTTCAGACTTTCCTGGAGGATGCCTGTTTCTTAGCCAGTGGTTCATTACCAGACTTGTGTTTTTGTGTGTCTGTGTGTTTTTTTTTCTGCTTCTTCACTACAAGGATAAAAATAAGAACGGTGTGCAAGAAAGGAAAGACTCAGACAATTATAATAGAGCTAGTCCAGCCTCCAGTGATGAAACTCTCACAACTCCGGGAGACAAAGCTGATCTGCTGGATAATTGTCTTCACTGAATTCCCGGTTGCTTCTCTCATTTCCACCCAGCGCTTCTTGTCCTGACAGGCCTCGTTGCCAAATAGAAATAAATATATCTGGAACTTCACTGGAACATCATCCCCCCCCCCCCCCCCATCTGTGACAAAAATCCCCGCCTGTCAATTGCAAAACGTGGCTTCCTTTGGCAGAATTACGGGATAACACAGTTGGGAGGGACCTTGGAGGTCTTCTAGTCCAACCCCCTTCTCAGGCAAACCATGGCCCAGCCTCTTCTTATAAACTTCCGGTGTCAGAGCATTCACAGGTTACGTCCTGCGGCGAGACCTTTAACCCGCCAAACACTTGACCTTTGTCTAATCCAGGTCCTTGGGAAAGACTCAACAGGTGGACAAAACGGCCAAATCAGCCTGAACTGCGGCTGTGAGCAGCTCCGTCCACCCCTGGATGTTTTCCAGAAAAGGTCGACAGCGGCTTTGACCTGAACGGCATCGTCTTCTGCTTGAGCGCGGGGATGGACTAGAAGACCTCGGAAGTCCCTGCCAGCCCTAGGATTCCACATTCTATGCTCTTGCCTGGACTAAGGCACGTTAGAAGACATCAGCCTTTTGAGTCTGAAAGCGGGATTCTGCCCTGCAAAGAAACCAGAGAGGATCCTTTCCAAGAAAGAGGAGGAGGAAGAGGAGGAGGAGGAGGAGAAAAAGTAGTAGTGAAGGAAGACAGGGAGGAGGAGGAGAACAAGAGGAGGAAGAGGAGGAGGAAAAGAGGAAGAGGAAGAGGAAGAGGAGAGAAGGGAGAGGGAGGAGGAGGAGGAGGAGGAGAAGGAAGAGAGGGAGGAGGAGGAAAAGAAGAAGAGGAAGAAGGAGAAGAGGAGGAGAAGAAGAGAAGGAAGAGAGGGAGGAGAACAAGAGGAGGAGGAGAAGAAGAAGAGGAAGAGGAAGGAGGAGGAGGAGGAGGAGGAAAGGGAGGAGTAGAAGGAAAAGAAGACGAAGAGGAAGGAAAAGAAGAAATATTTTGTAACCACCACTTTACAAAAAATACGTGGAGACTTTGGAAAAAGCGCAGAGAAGAGCAACTAAGATGATTAAAGGCCTATTTGAAGAACGGTTGCAGGCACTGAGTATGGTTAGTCTGGAGAAAAGAAGGACTCGGGGTGGCATGATAGCAATTGTCCGATATCTAAGGGGTTAAAGAAGAGGGGGTCAACAATATATATATATATATATTATAAATATATATATTTTCCAAAGCAGCGGAAGGCAGAAGAAGAAACAATGGATGGAAACTAATCATGGGAAGAAGCCACCTGGAATGAAGGAGGAACTTCTTGACCGTGAGGACAATTAGACAGCGGAACAGCTGCCCACCAGATCCTCCTCCTCCTGCTGCTCCTCGGCCTGCTTGCCTGCAAGGAAACGGACCCGTTGGTTTCACTTCACCAGAGGGTCCCAACTGCTGTACACACCGACCCCACCAGGCTGTGAAAAGGAAGCAATCCATCAGCCTCCTCGCAGAAGGGGACCGGAAAAAATAGGCCACGTTG